CCCCCCATCCACATGCCACATGCGGCGTGTCACACACGCTGCGGCCGGGCTGCTATCCCCATACAGACCTGGGAAAGAGGGATCTGCTGCTGCTGACACTGGAGTCCATGGCCCGGGTACCCAATGTGCATCCATCTTCTAACTTCTCACCTTGGTGCCGCCTGAGGCACACAGGGCACAATGAGGAGTTAAATGTCCCAAGTGAGTCTTGCAATGCTAGGGTGGGGCACTTTAGCACGACTCTTACAGGACTGGGGGGTCTGAAGTCTCAGACCATGAAAGGGCTGCCAAATAAGTCTGTACAGTATGTTATTGGAGGGGGGCTTGGGGTGGCAAGTGTACGGTACAATTGGATACGTCTGTGAGATTCTGTTACAGTCTTACTAAAAACTTTTATAGAATAACAGATGGAATGTTCTTGTCTGTAGCTCAGTTCGTTTAACATCTATTTGTGTATGTGTGCAGGTGTGTGTGCGTCAACGTGTCAGCGTTTGTGCGCGTTTGCGCGCACCTCTGCGCGCGCACACAGTCAGATCGCAGAGGAGCGGAGACGCGAAAGCGCGCCTCCCTTTGGGGAGCAGAACCTTGGCTCAGACACCCGATAGAAGCGGCGACGGCGGACACGGCCCGAGTCGTGCGCCCTGCGAACTTCCAGCTCGCCTCCTCTACCACGCTGATGTGGAGACGCACTCCTGTCAACCCTGGGTGCTGAGGCGCGTCGCTCCCATTAGAAGTTACATCTGCGGTCTTCTGAAGTTAAAGCAGTGATGGACAAAGGGGGGCAGAGCAGCCGGCGCAGCGAGTAGCGCAGGCTGAGAAACAGTGAGAGACAGGAGGAGCATTTTCCCTCCTCCCTGCATTTGCGGATTACCTGGCAGCCGTAAGTAACAGCTCTCTCCTTCGTGTCTACCCCGTCCCAGATCGCAGGCTTTATACATGGCTTTGTAATTAATTACTGTCCTTAATATATTTACTAACTCATATATATTTTTACTTTAATATCCTACGTTTCGCATATGTTGACTAAAGAGACAGAGAAGTTTCAACACTGACTATTTTACTTTTATCTATTTATAATGCTACAATGCCTTACATAGTTTCTTATCGTTTTCAATTTACTTATTAGGCCAACGTGTAAAAATGCCAAATCGCCTGTATTATACAGAGGCACCAAACACCATACAGCATTAAACCGCTCCAGCTCGAACGTTTAACTTGAGGGAAATTTAAACAGTGAATATTATGGTTTCTTCAGTAAAAACAATAGAAATATTCCTTATTTATTATTTGGGGAAATTGGTGTATGGGAAATTACGTTAAATTTCTTTATTCTTAACGATTTATTATCAGTGATGAAAGTAAACAACCGTGAGCTGGACAGGTGCGGGTGTCGTGAGGTTTTGGGGTGACATAACGCAGTTTTAGGGTTAGGGCTACAGGCTCGGGAGATCGGGTGGTTTGCAGTGTTAACTTAACATGGAGCATCATTAAATAACACAGGGCGGTTATGTAACGTCGGGGCCAGGTGTCTGTTCACTGAGGGAATGTCCGCCGAGATTATTGCTGGTATTAAAACAGGGACATTTGTGCAATGAAAATCCATGCTCACCAACACGTGAGGCAAGAGATTTAATTACATTTGGAATTTGGAAGATTCACTTTCCATCACAACCGCCGACCTAAATCTGAAGTTAAACTGCTTAAATAATGTTAAATCCGGCGAAAATTCTCAGCGCAAATCCCCTGAGTCCGTCGTCTCTTTTGAGCCTTCGGTAAACGTTCAAGTTTGAGAATGACAGCTGCCTAAATGTAACGAACCGCGGAAGAGCAACAAGCGAGGCTGAAAGTAACGGACTGTGAACAGCGTGAGTGTTTATTTCGGCATGGACGTGAATGTTTGTATGTACTGAATTCATCTATCTGTAGATAGTTGTATCTATAGCCTATTTTGTGTGTGTGTGTGTGTGTGTGCGAGCGGGTGTGTGTGTGTGCGTGCACATGTGTCCCCCATTTGCTCAGAAACCTTCGCTGGGTCGTCTCCCTTTGTTTAGTTACCAAGCCCCCCCCCCCGACCCAGGGCTCTCTAGACAGTGTTACCCCACCTGGCTACCACCCGCCCCTGCCCCCGCCTCCTCAGGGCATTACGGGTTGCCCTGCACACAGGCTGATAAGGCGGGGGCGCCGTGCCTGCCTTTCCAAGCCCACGCCAGCGTCATGGCAGATATGGCGTCTCATTCAGCGATGATGGCGGCGGAGGGTGAAGCGGGCGAGCAGGCGAGCGGGCGCTCCCTGAAGTGCGGCTTCAACTGACAGCTTCTTACTAGTGCTGCGTGGATGATGGCAATTAATGATACAAAGAGAAAGACCAATGTATGGAAATTTACATATATTTGCATACATCAGCATACATTTACATAACTTACTGACTGAAGGACAGGATTTGGTTGCTCTCTTTTGGCAGGGAGGTCGCAGGTGGTTAGGAGGCCAGCTCTTACAGTAAGCGGCGGAGGCCACACAGAGCGAGTGGCGCCCTCTGCTGGGCGGAGGTCTGAGCCTCACTTTTCTACCCCCTGGCTTGGCGATGCCCCTCTTCAGCTGGAGGAAGCGCCCCCCTGTGGAGGAGGTGCGAGGCGGCCCCCTGCTGCACCAGCTGCTGCGGCACGTGGAAGAGCGTGAGCAGCGCCGCCGCCTGGCCCGTGGCATCCAGCCGGCGGCCCCACGGCCCCTCGTGGCCCCCCAGGACCGGCAGCAGCTGGAGCTGCTCTGTGCTCGAGTGCCGCCGGCTCACGCGGCCGCCGTTCTCTCCAGGTGGGAGTCCTTCCGGCTCGTCCCGGCTCCGTGTCACGGTCCCCCCCTCCTTCCCAGCATGCTTAGCCCATCCCGCCTGACACGTACCGTCGGCGAGCCGCTGAACCTCTTTTCTGTTACCTTCCTCCACGCATTTCGCACGGCACACCCAACCATAACCTTCATGCAGGACTCCCTCAGCATGTTTATGGCAAGTGACAGCTCCTCGACCCCACATCTCCTTGTTTTGGGGGGAGGTAGAAGAGACAAGACAAAGGAGAGCTTGCATTGGCTGTCGCGGATGAATGACAGCATCTTGTGCTGAAGTGCTGAGCCCCTGTGCCTCATCGCCGCTGCCCGCTATACGGCGCGGTTATCCAAAATGTCCCGAACATGGCCTGACACCCCAGGGCTGTCAGAGACACTCCTCCCTCCCGCTCGCAGTGTGTGTGTGTGTGTGTGTGTGTGTGTGTGTGTGTTAGAGCTTCAGGCTCTCGGCTGGGGAGGGTCATTACATAATAACGGTGCCCTGACCAATCCACAATCGGCAAATGTAAAATCAACATGCTTCCTTTTCTGCGTGTGAAATATTTTGTTTTTCTGAATCATGCAGTACCGTTACTATATTAAGGACATAAAAATACCCCTGAAGCTTATTGATTATTATGAATATTATGATTAAAATTAACACAGTGTCTAAGTACACAGGGTCCTTGATATTTTGCACAAGAGAAACGTGACCCGAATGAAGAAAGCGTCCCACTGTAGAAATGGGTGAACAGTAAGTCATTAGGCAGTGATGCGTTAACCGTAGTAACCGTAGTAACCGTAGTAACTGTAGTAACCGTAGTAACTGTAGTATCCAGTGTACCATCCAGCAGGACGATTAAAGTGCAGCAGCATATCATAGGAAATGCAGTACAGCATGGAAGGCGCTGTGGCACTGGCGAGACCCCAGCTGTGTGTGGGGGGGTGGGCGCATCACATGCTGGGCTGGCTCTGCATCTCTGCTGTCAGACAGCTGCTTTCAGATGGCTGGGGTGCATCGCTCAGGGGGAAAGAGACATACAGACACACACAGATACAAACAGGCACACACACAGAGACACAGACACACACACACAGAGACACAGATGCACACACACTTTCCCCCATCACACCACGGAGAGGACAGAGCCATCAGACCGAAAGCTGCCTGGACTCACTGCACTCTGGGTTCAGTGCACCGACGGCTCATTAAGTTACTTTTCATTGTCATTTTTTCTGGGACCCTACATAGCCTGACAGAAAAGGCTTTTCCCTCATTTGCACACTAAGATGCCATTAAAAATGTCCTTCATTCGTGGGGGCTGCCTTGCATGAGCGACTTCATCAGCGTCACTAACACAGCTTTGTGTTCTGTCCCAGGGTCAAGGAGGTGCTGGCGGGCACCAGCCTACCTCCCTGGGAGCTGGTCTACGCTTTTCAGCAGGTGCTGCGAGATTTCCTCTGCGGGGAGGAGGTAGAGGAGGCGGGGCCTGTGCTGGCCTGGGACAGACGCTGTCCGAGGAAGCTGGGCTCAGGAGCGGCCACGGCGCCGGAGTGTCCAGACCCACAGAGGGAGGAGATCCCCACCATCTCCAGCCATGTGGAACGCAGCATGTGCTGGACCCGGCCTTACGAGGCCCAGAGGGACTGGGACCTACCCCATCACTGCCCCGCCCCCCGGCACTGCCCCGCCCCCCAGCGCTGTTCTCAGGCTTACAGCACTGCTTTGTGATGGCCCCTCCTCCTTATGTCTGGCCTCTCCTCTGTACACCTCTAACCAAATTTTTGGCCTATAGCACTGCACTCCTCCCTGAATAGGCCCTGGCTCCGCCCCCTCAAGGCCACACCCTCATGCAGTTCCGGGCAACAGACTAGCAAGTTATGCTAATAATTGGCCCTCAAACACAAGACTTGCGGTCAGGTTGCTCCTATACCAACCCTGCCCTTAGTTACATAAGGAGCCATTCCTCTCAGACCTCCGGGAGCCTGGGACTGGTACTGCGTGTGGCAGCTCAGGGTGGATGTCACCAGCTGGGCCTGTGGCAGCTGCGACCTGTCAGTGGACCTCACTCAGTGCTCCTGGACCAAAGCAGTAGACAAACCTTCTATGCCTTGGGAGTGTCTAACCCTCCCCACAGGTGGCTGCAGAGCCCCTGCTCCTCCAGCTTTGAGGCTGTTCCTCCTGACGGTGCCCTAGGACCCGGTGAGTGGCTGTGTGGCTCCTCATGTCCCCATGTCTGCTGGCAAGCCGGCACTTCCTGGGTGCCAGTAGATGGTGAAAGCCATCCTTTTGATACCTGTCTGCTGTGTTTCAGCAAACACTGTTTATCTACAGTGCCAGCATGCAGGAGAATTAAGCTTTATATTTTTTTTAATGGATATGCAAGTGAAGAGATTTCTGTACCACGACTGTGCAGAGTGGGGAAAAACTGTTTGTTCAAAAGCAATAGTCCTGTTCATGTGTTTCCTGGTGCTTATTCAACAGCCCGGACTCCTGCACCTTGCCAAACGCCTTTCTAAATGTAGATGTACTCTTCACTTATTTTCATGTCGGAGTTATTTGTATTATTACTCAATACCGGAACCAAATTCCTTGTGTAACTTAACATACTTGACCAATAAATCTGATTCTGATACAGACTGTGCAAGAAGCATTCTTTGGGCATTTAACCCCCTGCCCAGCGGGCTGTACATCATGCGTCCCACAGGTGGGACACGAACCAGATTTTACCTTGTGATCAAGGCAGTGGTGAGGTGGGGGGGGGGCTCCCCACACGTGGCGGGATGCTGAGGGTCTCTCAGACGACAGGATGCAGATGCCATCCTTCCCTCTCCTCTTTATTATGTATACCGCCCTTCCTTCTGCTCTTTGTGTATACCATCCTTCCATCTCCTCTTTCTTTTTGGTTTTCATTCTTCCCTGTCCTTTGTGCTCATGGGTGTTTTACTTACACAAAAATGTTCTTAGAGCTGAATGAAAAATGATTGGTTGAGAGAGATACCCAATCAGATTGTAGAGAAGGTGAGACCAAGTAACTAGAGGAGGCTGGACCAACCAATCAGATATAAGTAAGACTCCTCCTTTGTTTATGTATACTATCCTACCCTCTCCTCTTTGCCGTTGCCCTAAAGTTCTCCCAAATTCCTTTGATAAACAAGTTTTGAAATGTTAGAAACATGAGCTGAGGAAAACTTTATACTTCAACAGAATGATGTTTATGCCAAATCAAAAGTCACAAAATATACCTTCCCCTTCTGCAAGAGATTAATTAATCCAAAGATCTTATCATCCCGGATATGTGGCTACATGCAACCTGAAAACACGTCCCACCAAAATGGATTGTGTCTCTCTTACAATATAAACAAACATTCCATTGAATTGTAGATAGATGGTAAGAAACATAAAAAATATCTACATAGAAGTGCTGTGAAGTTCATGGTGCCGGAGGTGTTCTGGCCATGAGGCGTCGCGGCGCAGTCAGCGCGGGGAGCCCGGGAGGCTCTGTTCTCCCCGGATTGAAGAGAAATCCACAAGCAGGATGCCCTCGGCCTTTGATTGTGCCCCCGTTTGCCTTTTCACCGACTTGCCTTTTCATTCAGTGAAGAAAAAATCACAGACTTCAGCTTAGGCTTTTATTTGATTAGTCTGATATATATCTGACCCTAACCATAACCCTTTCGGTTAAATTAAAATGTCTATTAATATATTCAAAATGTAGATTAATAATGTCATACTTTTAAAAGTAAATTTTAAATATTAAAATATTAAAAGTAAAAACAGCTCATTTAAATGCAGGTTTATAGCAATACTGCCGCATTTTGCGCGTACAGTATGTAAGACAATCGCTTATCAGAAGAAAAAATGTGACTCAGTACCGGAGGTGTCCGCTAGGTGGAAACCGCCATAAACGCATGAGTTTGACGTGTGGCGATGAGCAGCTCGTGCCTTCCCAGAAACCCCCGCGGCAGTGACCTTCCTCAGCCTTCAGCTGATAGAAGCCGGTACCAGTAATTCACAAGGCAAGTTCTTAACGTTTGGAAACATTTTTAAAGTTACGGCCTTTTATGCATTTTTGGAAATAGGAGTATTTAATCTTTTTTTATGATAATCTGTCTACGAGTAATTTAACAATGTGTCTAGCTAGATGGTTATGCTTTTACGAGGCCTAGCTCACTGTACTTGAACAAACTAACCTAGTAATTGTGCTTTAACTTAACCATACAGTGTGTAAATTTGTAAAATTGTAACTTGATGTTAATGTAAGCGGCTTCACTGGGCATAAAATAACGTTTGTGATGTTGTTAACGCGTCCGTGTTTTGTCCTCTTCGCTACCTTAGGTTGTGCTTAATCTACTTTATTGATCCTTCGCCTATGTACAAACTAATGGCGGATCGGGAATTGCTATAAACACCGTCGTGAGTGTCTTTCGGTGCAGAATCAGCAAGAAGTGCGTTAAGATCTGTTCATCAACTCAAACACTGTAACATACGCAAATGTATATACCAGAAAGGGAATGCTGGCCCTGTGCGAAGGGATGAGCTGTTGGGCATTATGCCCAATTATAATAAAGGACAACATTGTGGGCACGAGATCGGTGTGTTGTATAGAGGACAAACTTTCTATGTACGATTTTTAACTTGAATTTGAATGAAGTCTACCTCTGCATTGAAAGTAGCGAATATTGCAGCGGTGGGGCAACTTCGTAGGCTGACTATGAAAAATGGGGGTGTTGATATGTGGGTGTCTTTCTCTCTGTGTGCTGATGCAGATGGCAGGGAGAGTGCTCTCGGCGTGGTGGACCAAGATGAAGCCCTACTACACACAGGCATACCAGGAGGTGTGGGTCGGTGTTGGCATTATGACCTATCTGTACTACAAGGTCTCCTATGGAGGTGAGTCCTCTGCCTGTCTCCAGATGGGGTTGCATGCGAATAGAAACATGCAGGGATTTGTACATCGCCTCTTAACATGGGGTGGTGTTCAGGTAAATTACGCTGCCCACTGAAGACTGTGTCTCCTCCAGAGATCCAGCACATTTGTTCTCTCTATGGGACATTATGATCTTGCTGATGTCCCTCATAGTGTACATGCCAGTCCTGCTTCTCAAAGAGGACAGTCGGGGCTTTAAGGTGACGTCACATGTGTGGAAGTGTGCTTTTTGCCATCCCAAAACTTAGTTTGTGTAAAAAATAAAAAAAATCCCTGTATCTGGAGGAAATATCAATATTTTAAAAATAAATGAAAAGCATTCTTACTGTAGACTAAAAGCAAGCTAAATGGTTGACCTTCAACGTCAGTAACATTTGTGAAAAAAATATCCAGAAATTCTGAACATTTTATTTCATGACAATTACCTTTCATCCAAAGTGATATTTTTGATAGTGTGTGTGTGTGTGTAAGGATGTACGCAAGGATCAGTTTGAATGTGCACATGGCCGCCT